TAACACCTCCAAAGTTAAACATTCGAATTCGTGTAATAGCAACGCAGAGAACACAACATCCAGTGCTAAATCAGATAAAATGCATGTTCATGAAAAGGTTGCTCACGGCTACGAAAACCTACTCCCACGCAGCGCCAGTGATTGCAAATTGGGGAAGAATCTTCTAGAAGGAAAACACAGAAGTGGTCACAAAAAGAGTAATTCAGTCGGTCAAAAACGGGAGACAACCGAAAGTCGTCAGAACCTTATAACCCAAGACGACTGCGACAATGCACACGTCTATGAAAACGTTCTTATGCCGCAGGATAACTTCGTACCAAAGAGTTGCAGTATGCCGCGTAGACTAACTACCAGCGGAATATCGAGACAGAGCAGCTACGGACATTTACCCAGGGCCCAAATCCGCCAACATAGACACAGTACGAACAACGTAAACAGCAGATCGCGAACAAACAGCACCAACGAACTCGAACACTTCTACAATATAATAGAAACATTGCGCCGAGGCAACGCACGCACGTGCGATACTAACACAAGCAGCTCTTCTGGAAGCAGCCGCCATGAAACTGTGAAGGATGGTGCGCGACAGAGTAGAACCTCGCGACAGAACAGTCTAGTCGACAAGTCACGCCTGAGCCCGGCAGAAGTAACTAAATTAAAGCGACAATCAAGCGAGGTTGAACTAGGCAAGTCTCAAATCACCGACACCAGCCTGCGAGGCTTCCAGTTAGTGGTGGGGAAGGACAAATTGAAGCGGCAGTTAAGCGACAACGAACTTTCCGGGTCACGCTTGAAGTTGGCTATGCCAATGTCGGCAGGGGCGGAACCGCGGCAGCCATTTTGTTGGAATAAACGGGCAAGCCTTGATTGCGAAGCTTCTTTAGGCCATCGTTTGTCTGCGAAATCTCGAGGAAATAAAGTGAAATCAACTTATACGTTCGGCGAACTAAAAAATACCGTCCCCAACGCGACCGAAACAAACGTTGAAGGTATCCACATCTCACCAGAGGACTTCCTAAAAATCATAGACAATTAAAACATTCCATGGACTATTAGATATAAGATTTTTTTTAAATTAAGAACAAATAATCGATGTGTATATTAGATATGCGCAATGCATATCTATCGACGGCTGATGTAAATATTGTAATTTGCTTTTAATAATAGGACTAATATAACCTGCCACTGAAACAGGCCATTGTTTAGTTGTCTGTGGAAATACAGACTAAAATATATAAAATACTACTTTATTCAATGTTAGCTTACGTTTGTGACGATCATAAAAGAGAAATAAAATAACCTTTTCGTGTTAAACTTAAGCATTATGTAAAAAATCCCTATCCTATATCAAGAGTACCTTAAACACTCTTCGACATTGTATCCGATTTTCCGCTGAATTTGTACACTAGCAATGGTCTAGTTTCACTGTACGATCTCTATAAATGAATCTCTATTTTTTCTACATACTATGTACCTATTGTACAAATTAACTCATACCTATGTAAAGTGTTCATATGCTGTTACGTTATATAGCAATATTAAAATATTTTAACGCGACTCCCATTTATTTAGCGTTAATATCAAATTCGCTTAGTACAATAATACTTATTAAAGTCGAGATTTATTTATATGTATTTTGTTTCTTCTTTTTAATAGCTGTCAATTATCTCGTCAATGTGTTGAAACTAACGATAACTCCACAGAACGCAAAAATCTAACACTATTAATCAATTAATTAGTCATTAATAGAAATCGCATTAAATTATATATAGGAATTCAATAATTGGTAATTGTTTCTACACTTTCATTATAATCTTTATGTACTAATTTTGTGTTGATTGTGATTTCTAAGTAGTTTTTAAACTGCCAAATTTTAATAACGATATGAAAGCATTTCTTTTTTGGGATCCTGTATCCGATCCGATTTAACACAATCCTAATTAATAGCATAAGACGAAAAACGAAAATAAACAGTTAATTAATGGAAATATTTTTCTATAATTGTATTGGAATTAATACAAAAGATAATATTAATACATTTAATTATTATGGTAAACGAACTCAGGCTGCTGTTTTATTTTCGAATTCTGCAATATCTGGGATGAAATATTATTTAATAATTTCCGCGTATTAGTGTGACAATATTAAAGTACATTGGGTGTAATTAATATTAAATGTAAATTATATACCTAATTAATGAGTAAATATGCTGTCTAGATATTAGGTAATCGAAGTTTATAAAATTGTTATCAATATGTTTTTATTCTTTGCCTGAATTTTATTTTCAGTGCGCTTTATGTTATCGCTTCGGAAACCATATTTTATCGCATGCATTGATACCACACGAAGTTACTACATAACAAAGAACTTAGTTCTAAATGCAAGAAATGCAATTTATTAATAGGTGCCTACAAACAACGATAAATGCATAAAAGGACAATGGCGAAAAATTGTTGATTGAATTATTGTCATCTTACCGTTACATGTATCAATAAAATAATTACTATGTTTTATCTAATCAGGGTTATAGCCTATCGAAGTCTGGAAGAAAAATCATCATACATTATTTAAAACAAAATTGACTTGTTGTAGTTGTTACGATTCACCAATTAAAGCAGACAAAGGTCTTATACCTACAGCCTATTCTGATGTGTATTTTATTCACACAACTCTTCTAAATATACTAATGCGTTATTTTAGGATTCCGTCTATGCTAGTAATTACTCTATATAGGTTGTCCTAGAAGTCGACGTCAAGCCGGAACCAGGTAATTTTTCGGTACAGTCATTTAAAAGTGGGCAAAGTATTAAGCAACAGTTTTCGGAAGTATTTTTCAGCATTACATAACAAAATGAAAATTAGAAAAGTTAAAATTTGTAACAGGAGTGGAAAGGCTGCCACAAGATGTGGATTTTCTCGATTCTTTTTTTATAAATGCCTGTAACTTGAAATACGTAGCAAAGATTATTTTTTATATTTTTCTGGTAACTATTATGACTTGACCTATCACCCGGCTTGACGTCGACTTCTGGGACAACCTGAATAAGCAAAATTGAAATTATATTGACTAATTGTTGCTGTTTTAATGATTTGCCAATTAAAGCAGGCAACACTCTTATACCGTACAGCCTAGTCTGATCTGAATTGTGTTCAAACTGGTATGTCTTTGATTCCTGACTTCCTGCAGTAGTATGACTGAAGAAAAAATTGTTCAGAATTTCAAACTCTATATTTTTACAAATATTTCACGCAAACTTTTGTATGAGAGTTCGCCAATTGTCCTTTGCTATTATTTTAATAACCTTTTTTGTTATTATAAACATCTGTGTTATACCAATTAAGCGGTAAGTTTATGCAGATACGTTTTGTTTAAAATTCTATATTTCTATCTCAGATATTAATAAGAAAGTATTTCATTACACAAAAGTCGTATAAAACGACACGAACGCTTCGCGGCTGTGCCACAGCGTCTATGAGCTTCGTTGTAGAAAGGTAAGGATAAAGAGTAAAACATTAGGTAATTAAATATCTAAAACGATACTAAAAGTATTGGAAGTGTTACAAATTTGTATTTTTCAATTCTTTTTCTGCATGGATAAATCGTGATGATACCAGATACATTGTTGCTATCATATTTGCCACAATATTTAGCTCCGTAATGGATATGTACCTCTGTTTGTGACATAATGCTTACAGTATTCAAAACAAGCAAATGTATATATATTCAATATGTGTATATTCAACGTAAACAAACGTGTGTTATTTTAAGTATCGCTCTAACTCCGTCGCTTTTCTATAATTTTATCGCGCATTAGCTGCTAATATACCTCTTTACATAAATAAAATCGAATTAAGTATCTGTTAACTGTGAATTTCATAAAACTAAATGTGATTAGATTCTATAAAACTGTTTGTTAATTTTGTAGTTCTTAAAATGCTAATTTATATTAGTAGTAGATTTTCAGAGTGTGATTATATTCGACTATCAAGATCACAGTTCTTTATTTACTATAAAATAATCATTTAATCGTTATCAGGTGGTTAAATTTCACATCTGGCTCTTATTTCTGTATATGTTCCAAGTGCCTTATGAATAAATTGATGCATTCCTACTGGTTAATCACTGTTTTTTTACAATATTTCTTTTTATTTGGTATTTTTATTTAATTGAAGTAGGTATATACGTGATCTGAATGTCTAATAAATCTACAATTATGGCATTTAAAAATATTGTGACATAATAATATTATATCTAAGTATTATATTATGTATAATTGAATTTCCAGTACTTAATTAGTCTGTGATAGAATACGTTTTACAGTTATAATCTGTTGTAATTATAAGTACCTACTAAGTTTTTATCTTTTAAGTTTTTTTTTTAAATACGTACCTTCTATTCATCCATTTAGTATCCAAGGCGAATACAAATTTGTAATAAATTCATTTTCTAACATTTACTATTTTTTCTGTATTTTTTAAAGAATTAAACAATCCAATAAAATAATTCTGACTGTTTTATTGTGTAAAATACCATCCTACCAGCCTACTCGTTTTTTTCATTACAACGTAAAAAATTAAAAAATATAAACGTCATCCATTTTGACTTCGCTCGTTATTACGCTTTTTTTAGTTTTATTTCGTAATACGTGTACATAATAACAATAATTGACTTATTTTTATCAAAATGATATTAAATAGCGATCATGATATAATTTTTGATATTTTTTTTGTTTCTGTCGCCTAAATAAATAATTTTTTTAATACTGGTTTTATAAGAGCACATTCCATTAACTATATTTAAAAAAGATATTGATTTTTCGTTTTTCTTTTGTTAAATCTATCAAATTCCGATACGTCAAGTGAAAATAGTTTTTACCGAAAACTCGACCGCATGCATATTATATAATTATTTATCACTTGGAATGGCACCAATACGGTATAGTTTACATTATGAAGATTATTCAGAACACTTAATGTCTAGATTTGGTAAACTATTGCAAATGCAGTCTCTAGTAGATATGACACTTATGTGTAGTTCTCATACTTTGCGAGTCCACAAAGCAGTTCTAGCAGCTAGTAGTGCATATTTCCAGGTAACGTTACAAAATTAAACGATTTTTATTCAACATATCATGAACTACAAACTTTAATCATAAAATTTTGAATCTTTTATCAGGAAGTATTACAAAAACAGACCGGCGAACCGCTGATTATTCTAAAAATGCGTTTCAGTGTTCTTAAGTCTCTGGTAGAATTCATGTATTGCGGAAAAACGCAATGCTTAGAAGAAAATTTAGATGAATTAGTTGCGGCTGCGCAATTTCTAAAGATCAAAGGACTATCTAAAGTGACAAAGGAAGGTCTAGGAATCACAAAACACAGTAAGTTAGCAAACATTATATTTATATCAACCATATAACCAAAACTTAAATATAAATATACTGATATCAAAGGAAAAACCTTTTTTATCAGCCACACTGCAGCCACATTATAGTTGCAGCACGAATGGGTCGGCTCGACCGGAGCAGGACCACGATCTCACAGAATACGAGCGTAAAATAGCAGCGTAATGCTGCTGTGTTTCGTATGGTGAGTGTAGAGAACCGGATACCCTTTTTAATGGAATCGAGGCATTCTATCTTAGTCCTCAGGGGTGACAACGCATTTGCATTTTGATCCATAGGTGATGATAAATGTGGATGTCTATGGGCCACAGCATCCACTTACGATCAGGTGAACTGTTGCGTTTGTCACCCAATGTTAAAGTAAGGAACTAGCAAAACGCATAACTACTGTTATCAGTGATTGTTATATAATTGCCACTAAAATCATTTAAATAATAATTATGTAATTATCTTTGTATTTCATATTATTTTTTGTAATTACAAATATAAAATCGATTATAAGTCATTGTATTGTCATAGATAATTTTCTCAGTTTATTTTTAATTTAGAATTTGAGAGATTTGCAAAGAATATTATATAAGTAATTTCATTTCCTAAACGTTTGTAAAATTAATTGACTTATCAGTAACATTTATAACAGTTGATTACTTATTTTCATATTATAAAAGTATTTGAATTGTATAATTCTTACACATTTGAACTGTTACTAGGTTCAGTTTTGGTAGGTAGTAGGGATAGGCTACCACCATTGTGTGATATTATTTAAACGTTTGCAATAATGATTGAGTGGCTTTTTCGTGCTCTAACTGTAGTAAAGCAGACCTCAAGTGATCAGGCGTATTATTTATTCCTTTCTGCGACTCCTATAATACTACGTAAAAATTCTATTGAGCAGTACAATCTATATTGAATAAAAATCATTCTATTCTACGGTTAACAAGCGGGCTAGACGCTCCAGTTTATTTTTATTTTTGTCATTATTAGAAAGACGCTGCTGCCCGTCCAGATTTCCCACAGGATGATATGGGGATGTGGATATTCTTACACTGCAACTGCACGGTTTTTCAGTATTAACAGTTATAAATATCGCTACGATAGAATAATTTCTATAAACAAAGTTGTAGGATAAAAAGTTATCCTTGTGACCGCCGGTTAACAATGACGCGGCTGAACATTAGGCCTCCCCAATAGATTTATTTATTACATCTAGTGGGAGATCATCACTCGCTTTTAGTTTTAGCTTGCCTTTTTGTCAATGTCCCTATTCGTTATCTATTTTTATTTTAGTGCAACAAGTTACCCGACATAACTAGTATTTATTTAAAGTTTAAGTAGAAACTTAGTGACATGATTTAGCAGAGCGAGGCGGTTAGTCTACTCGACAAAAAACGCACTTGTATTACAGTACTAAATCACTACGCCGCACGCCTTGCACTCAGGCTTAGTCAGTAGTTACATTAATCCTTTATCATATGAGCCCTATTTTACTATCTATTATAAGGATTAGTTAAATATGGAAAGCGCCCGAGCATCCTATCACAAACTTGATCCCGAATTACAACAATACTGGGCTGGGAATTAAATTGAATGGTCTAAGGAATTAAATGATGTCATTAAATATCCACAATTGCAAAACTCTGTCTAAATCTGAATATCAAGCTACTAGCTCTAATACCTATTAGCAGCATTAAGCTCTTGATTGAAGCTTATGACTGTTCTCTCTCTCTTTAAGCTTGCTATCTTAATGCAGCTTTATTTCGTATGGTGAGTGTAGAGAACCGGAGATCCTTTTTACTAGTAACGAGGCATTCCATCTTAGTCCTCAGGGGAAACAACGGATCTCCAATTTGATCCTTAATCGAGGATAGAGGATCAGGTGGACTGTGTGCGTTTGTCACCCCTATTCTATAAAAATAAGTAAAATGCCAGTAACATTGCAATTTAAATAATTTTGCTTTCACTCCTACTTAAAGGTGATTTACCAATTTTTACGCCGCCTGTGGTAATTAATCGGCCGCCACAATCTCTTATCGACTTGCATACACAGGTAAGCTTTTTATAATATTGTACATTAAAATAAATCACATAACGTTTAATTATATAGAACAATTAATTAAAAATAATATGTGTAAATGTTGCTCCTTGTTGTGTATTCATTATCGCCTTTTAGTCTTGCTGAATATAGAAGGCTTCTCCATAGATTGCCTCATAATCGATATCTCCCATAATTGCCACGGCTGACGGATTGGCAACCGCAGTTTTTTTTTACTTTATATTTATCATTGGGAAGAAGTTGTCTTTTCTTCATAAGGAATAAAGAAATATATATTATATAATAAAGGAACATAGGAATAAAGGATATCATTAGGAAGAAGTTGCTTGCTTGTCTCTGTCGCCTCTAATGGCAATTAACCGACGGGACGACATGCGTTAGCGGATGTTCTTGTTTCTTGATATTTAAAACGAACAAACATAGGTAGATTAACACCTACTATGACAGTAGTTATATTATGTTATAAATGATATTGACTTAATTATTATATTACAACCTGATGAGACATTACAATCCTGTCGCAATTCCATTCAATAAGCTGCTGTAAGTTAAACAGAGCTATTGTTTATTTAAAATATTACTTCAAAAAAATTGAGTCTTGTCCTGACAGAGATGATCAAAGCATCATCAAAAGTCTCGCTGGGTTTCTTGCTGCTTCTTCTCAGGACTGGATTTTTCCGAACAAGGAACCGGATTATAAATTGAATCTATTCTCTTTAATTCTATCATCATCTACATCGATTAACCACTTCAAGTTAACTTTTGATTTCGAACCTAAGGATACATTCGAGCCAAAGCCGGCGCCACCAGTATCCTCAAGTTCCTGTCAGCCAGTGGAGAGTCTCAGTCGGACGAACAAGGTGCATCATAACTTTTTTTTTAATTTTTTGAGGGTAGTACCTAAAGAAGATCATCGATATTATAAGGGTTACTGGGAATCATTGTTACGCGCAGATCCTATACTTTTCATAGTTCGTTTTTCCTCATATCCAAATTATCCAAGCCCGTAAAATCAAAACGTAAAATTTCCAACATGTTTTGTTTGTTTAATGGGAAGTACATTATCATATATATGAACAAAAATCAAATATACACAAATTCCATTTACGTGTACCTAAAAACTATCGTTTTATTAATACCTCTAGCTAGACGCAACGAAGCTAAAAGTAAAGTACCTAAGCCTACGATGTGTCAGAGAATTGAAAATCCATTCTTCAATCGCGCGTGGCTTTTTATAAAGCATTAATTTTAAAATACATAGTTTCTCTAAAATAAAGCTTTCATTACAGTCCATAAAAGTCTACTGCTGAACATGTCTTTGCCATATAAATATTGCTTCATAGGAGAGATTTTGCCATAGTTACCACGCGTGGCCGTCGGGTTGGCAACCTCAATTTTGTTATTTTGAGTTGATATCAAGAAGATGCTGCTGCCCATCTCCTGTTGTAAGTAAAATAAAGATGGAACCTCTGTCACTCTTGCTCCTGCGTGAAATAATTACCTTAAATCACGACGTACCCAGGGTGAAATACGCAGTCGGCGCTAGCGCGTTGTAGGCGATTTAATGTTAAAGTTTTTTATAAAGATGGCCGAAAATGGATTTCACCGAATACGAATATTCGGCTGAAAGTTCGGTAAAATTTTTACGGAGGCGTATATTATTCGGCAGAATCGCCTCGGTACCTAAATTTGTGTTGAAACTACGGCGCGGGATTAGCTCCGGGATCTGCCCCTCGCTCCAACTCGCCCCCCCCTCCCCCCACACCTGACATGTTATTGAATCATCTAGTACTGGGCAAATTCGCACATGCTTATGGTTTGTCTATGTTAGTGAGAAAAAAAGTATTTCGTTGTTTTATTCTTAGTGAAAATTGACAATTAGGTACCTACTTATATGAAAAAATTGAGTGGCAGGAGATCATTGACTTATATATTACTAGCGTAAGGACCGGGCCGACCGAACAACTAAAACGGACCAATGCGTTAGCCATAAAATTACAGTTTAGGGCCAACACGAATCGGTCGACAGTGGTGCGCGCGCAGGACAGATTTGCCTATCACAAATATGTCTTTGCGTGGTAAAAGAATGCAAAAATTACGATACAAAGATAAGAGAAACATGGGATATCGTATCATCGGTAAATAACCTTATATTAATTTTGTTACAATTAAATTATTATATAAACGCATTTATAAGTAGTTTCATTTTACAGTTAGTTTAGTTACGTTACCAAGATTAAGCCAGGGTTGGATTCAGACCCTCAAAAATATTGTACATGAAAAATAAAATTATACTATTTTAAAAAAATTATATCACGTTTGACGTTTCATGTTTTTTTTTCCCATGTGCCGGAATTTAGGTGTCACGCATCTAGTTTTATCTATACCTACGTTTCGTTTTTTGACGGTTTTATTTTTATTTCTGTTTAAATTTTGTATAAAGAACTTAGTGTAAGTTAAATTTTGAATATTGGTACCTCATATATTTATCTAATAAGGGCAAAACGAAAAGAGTACAAAAGAAAAGGATCGATCGAGCATCGATTGAGCAGAAACTGAGCTAATTCTAATTGTATTAAAGAGACGCGGTACTCATGTACAATACAGAAATTCTCGATATCGTAGGGTTAATATTAAAATGTAAAAGGACCCAATAATAATACAAATCGACCTTTAGGTAAAATTATGGTATTTTCTATTATTAACTATGAAATAATGGTACAATTAGGATAACTATACTAGGTACGAAATCCGACCCCAGTTACGTCGTGTTTTGATATTATGACGTTTCTATTATGACATATGCGCTACCTTTTCTTGTATGAAAAAGTTATGAGTACAATATTTAGATGGGCCTATCCTTCCTTTTGAAATCATTGCAGGAGATCTACTATTTGGATCTATTTTAGAGAAACTGATGACCAAAGTAAAGTGAAATGTACTAATGTAATATAATGTTTCTTTGTTTGATTCTAAAAAGGTTTTATCAAGCTTTCTATTTGTTATAATTAGATATAAATCAGCAGTGCCTCAAAAACATAACGCTCTACAAGTACATTTAATCTATAAATAAAATATACTTTCACCAGTAATATTATGAAAGACATAGCATTACTCAATTCGTAGATTTCAATATGGTGGGCACTTTGAGTACCTACCTACCACATGCTCGGTGATTGAGCCGAATATTCGGCCGAATACGAATATTCGGTAAAGCTGCCGAATATGCCGAATACCGAATATGAAATGAATATTCGGCCCATCTCTAGTTTTTTAACGCTGTTAACGTAGATATTTTTTTGTAAATACCGGGTGGCCCATAAGTCCCTTGAAATAAAAAAAATAATTAAAAAAAAACTAATAACATTATTAAAAAGGTTTTCATTTTGTCATAATCCTTATAAAATGGGAACTATTTTTTGAAAATTACATGATCTAAATGTAATCCGTTACGATCGCGGCACTCCTGTAAGCGACCTTTAAAATTATCCATCACTGCGCGGCAAGTAAGCTCTGTAATGTTTGCCATTTCTCTTTGGATATTTTCTTTCAGGACGTCAATTGTCCGCGGGTTGGTTTCGTACACTTTAGTCTTAAGATAACACCATAAGAAAAAGTCCATTGGGGTCAGATCTGGACTACGTGGTGGCCAAGGAATATCTCCACTTCGAGAGATCACTTTATTAGGGAAAAGTTGACGGACGACCGGCATAGCGACGTTAGAGGTATGGGCAGTTGCTCCATCTTGTTGAAACCAGGTCCGCGTATTGAAGCCTGGAAAATTCTGCAACTCTGGTGTAAAAAAGTCCTGGATCATAGCTACATACCGTTGTGAAGTAACAGTAAGCGCGCGGCCTCTGCCGTCCTCAAAAAAGTAAGGGCCTATAATGCCATGCGCTGACATAGCCGCCCAAACTGTCACTTTAGGGCTATGTAAGGGCTTTTGATGTTTGCGATTTGGATTTTCGCAACTCCAGTAGCGACAATTTTGCTTATTGACATGGCCGTTGATGTGAAAGTGAGCCTCATCAGAGAATAACACGTTATTAAACGAAGTAAAGCGGTTCAACATTTCATTTGCGAAATTTAGTCTGTGGATAGTGTCACTATCTGTTAATTCCTGTACTATCTGAATCTTGTACGGGTGAAGATGTAAATCATTCTTTAAAATTCGCTGTAAAGATGTTCTGGGTAAGTTTAATGCACTGGAACGCTTACGAGTAGACTGGGTAGGATTTTCACGAATTGAGTGTTTCACTACATCGATGTTTCCTTCCGTCCGTGATGTCCTTGGTCGACCTGACCGTTGTTTATCCAACGTCGAACCACTCTCTTCGAACTTAATAACCCAGTTCTTAATCGTTTGAACACTTGAAATGTCTTTAAAGTTGCGTAAATTCTGATATTCTCAAAATTTACGCCGCGCAATGGTAGCCGAATCATTGTTTCGATAAAACTCGCGCACACAAAATGCACGGTCCGCACCGGTGAAACGCTTCATGGTGACTGACTGAATTCCCAGAAACCGTCGGTACTCCCCCCGCACCGCGCGCGCCACTCATGCGCGCCTTTTGTATTTTATTCGAAATTTACATTTCTAACGACTTATGGGCCACCTTGTACTTGTTGAAATAGTTTTTGTTGTGTTTAGTATATTTAATTGTAGTATAAAATAGTTAGAGTTTTAATGTAATTTAAAAAATATATATATATATATATATATATTATGTATATCGTTCCTACTATAATTGTTGCGTGGATAGACGCTAAATGACCAACAAAATGTTTCAGATATACATTCTTTAAGTTACCGAAGGATTTTAGTAGGATGTTACGAAACGTAATTCACGTTCCTCCTACTAAAATCCTTCGGTTTTTATTTAATTTTTATTGTTAGATAGGTAGGTACTTATGAACTTTATTACAAAATTTTGTTGAAATTTACTTCACTATCCAAGTATCTACTTGAATACCCATACTTGTCTTTTGTATTTAAAATATTTTAAGTTATAATAACACAAAACACTGAAATCAAAACTTTTTTTACAAACAAAATTTTTCAGTACATGTAGAATACGATTACATTTCTGTTAGGAATCGTATTTCAAGTTTATTTGTTGTTTAAACTATCTAACTTTTTCTTCAGAGCCAAGCATCGCGATTCCCGACGAATGCCCTTGCAAGTTGCATGCGTTAGGCATCGCGGAATTCACATAGGTGCGAAATATGGTCAGTCGATCATAGTCAGTATAGGTATTTCACCTAAGTAACTTAATTAACATTTCGCAATGTATTTTGTTATTCTTTATTGACATTCCTTCGTAACAACGGAAAGTCCGCCGTAACGTAGGAAGGGGAAAAGATGCAAAGTAATACGGACACTCTCACGTAGAGATAAAGTTTTATTTAGCTTGCGAGTGCGATTTACCTAATTAATAATAATTATGTAGGCTATTAAACGTCGGCAAGCAGTCAACAACAAAAGAGTGTAACTTCTGTACGTAGTATTATTATTTATTTTGTGGTGTAAACAATAAATAAACTTGAAATACGATTCAAATGTAATCGTATTCTACTTAGTTAAAAATTTTGTAAGTAAACAAAGTTTTAATTTCAGTATTTCGTATTATTACAACTTAAAATATTTTAAATACAAAAGACAAGTATGGGTATGTAAGTAGATACTTGGATAGTGAAGTAAATTTCAACAAAATTTTGTAATAAAGTTCATAAGTACCTACCTATCTAACAATAAAAATTAAATAAATTCACGTTTCGTAACTTCAGACTAAAATCCTTCGGTAACTTTAAAAATGATATATCAGAAACATTTTGTTGGTCATTTAGCGTCTATCCACGCAACAATTATAGTAAGAACGACGTTTTGTCATATTAAAATTTATCAAATAGATGGGTTATACATAATATATATATATATATATATATATATATATATATATATATATATATATATATATATATATATATATATATATATATATATATATATTAAAACTTTTTAACTATTTTATTCTACAATAAAATATACTAAACACAACAAAAACTATTTCAACAAGTATTTACAAAAAAATATTTATGCAGACAGCGTTAAAAAACTTTAACATTAAATCGCCTATAACGCGCTAGCCCCGACTGCGTATTTCACCCTGGGCACAGAACAAATAATAGTACTACGTACAGAGGTTACAGTCCTCTGTACGTAGTCGTGTCGTCCTCTTCGCACGTTACGGCGGACCATAGATAAATAAATATGTAGGGCGGACTTTCCGTTGTTACTAAAGAGGGGATGTCAATAAAGAGTAACAAAATACATTGCGAAATATTAATTAAACAAAAGAGTATAACTTCTGTACGTAGTATTATTATTTATTCTGTGCTTGAAGTAACATAAGCTGAGAATCGATCTACCTACCTCATTAGGTAACTAGTATTCGTAATAAATGCGTACTTTGGAACTGTACAATTTGCTGATTAGCTTCTTATTTTAATGTGTGTAGGTATTCAATTTCATTAAAGAAAATATTGATCGCGGATCTGTTAAAATAGTCAAAACAGTTTGTTAGGTTGTTTAGTGACAAAATAAAATCGTACATTACTAATATTATCTAATACTTCGTACATATCGAGCTCTTCTTTCGGAACTACTAAAATCGCTTAATATAATTTCATACCTTAGCATTCACTAGTGTAGTAAACCGAAATGTAATCTATTTGGAGGCAAATTAAAACTACGTACTCAAATGTTTCCTTCTGAAATACCCAGGACATGGTGGTTCGGATACCGTTCGACATTGAGAACGGCAGCGGTACAACGTCAAGTGGCGATTATACAGATACACCGCGCGTCATCAGGCCGCGACGAGGTCGACCAAGCATCAGGGTAAGTTCTCTGTTTAATAGTGAATTCTCATTCTACAGAAAGAGTACAGTAAGAGTTTTCTGGCATTTCTCGTAATAGATAGACTCTTACCTTCTGTCACCCACCGTACTTCTTCAAATTTGAATATTTAAACTTTTACGTCTTTGATACTGCTTCCCGTCGTTGACCTAGATACATATATACCGACATCAAAAAAATAGCTATGATTGTTTGTGCTCTTAACCATAGCCGTTTTGTACTTTTAGCGATCCATGGGTTGGGACGGACCCAGTGCTTTAGGAAGGGCGGCTGAACGCGCGTTGCTTCGTCGTGAGCAGGACTCGCGAAAGGCCATACACCAACTCAAACATCTACAGACGAGGCACATGCAGGTAGCTGTCTTCTTCTCAAAATGAATTTGTTTTATATCTTCTTTTCAACCAGCCCGTAAAAGAACATGGGCCTCTCCTATTAAAAGGGAGACCAGTATCGCTGGGCAGGCGGATGAGCATCACAGTACAGATTTCGCACGTCTTTGATACTGCTTCCCGTCACTGATCTGGATATTCTACGCCTGGAGTAAGCGAGATGACAATGGTATATATATGAACGTAGTAGAGCCATTCTGCACTTATATCATAGTTGCAGCACGAATGAGTCGGCTCGACCGAGCAAGGACTACGCTCTCACAGAATACGCATGGTGAGCAGAGAGAACTGGATACACTTTTTACAGGTAACGAGTTATAAAACATATATATTTATAATATAGGATACAAGTTTGCGTGAATTTGGACAGGAATTAAATATATTATACCGTTTTTCGCGACCTCTTCGTTATCTAATAATATGAACCCGTCATAGTTTATCAAATAATAACTTTAGCTACTGTAGACTTGCATTGTGATCGTATAAATTAGAATTTGTATTTTAATCTAATGTAACCAATCAGAATCACCACTAACCATTACTTTGCACTACTGTAGATGGAAAAAGACTAATCGGTCCAACGGAATTCTTTCCTGTTTGTTTGTCTATATCAATCAAATGAATGGGAAGCACACAATCATATATGTACATTGGCTGTTTTATCTGTCTGTTTTTATTGCCTTTTTCACAAAATGCTCCCAAAAATGATATTCAAACCTATTATTTGTTCGTAGGACTACATGGATCGGGTAACATTATCACAAGCGGTTAATAGCATTTGCGATCCGGAGTCTTCCACAAATACTTATTTGAACATGGATAACGATCTAATGTACATGGACCAATCCATCTCATCCAACACTCTCGATCAGACGATGCCTTTCTCCAAAGACTCGCTAATGAACGAAACTATTACACCAAGTTTTGCTAGCACAAGCACAACGAATTCGGCCAACGAAACTGTCACAAGTGGTATCAGTACCGCCATGTCGCAGTACGTAAATGCTTTAAAAAGTGCCGGCTTACCTACCGATTTACCAATTCTTTTTGAATCTGGTGACGGCTCATACATCAATGTAAATGAGCAAGTGCTTTTAGATATGGTACAGAGTAGCGAGATACAATATGAAGTCATCGAACAACCTAATATAATAGAAAAAGTTGCTGATCCTAGCGAAATAAAAAGCATAGATGACCTATCCAAATCAATAGAGAGAGGGGAAATGCTTATGGCCTCAAAGAATTACAGCAGTAGTAATTTTGACAAAGACTCGCAATATAATCGTCACGAAGATGCAATCAACAGCCTGAGTGCAATTCTACCCGATAATCTAGAGTCATTTGCTGAACAACAAAATTACGTTGTACTCGGACATGATCTTCAAGAAAGTCAACCGAACATGGATCCTGTAACCTCACACGATTTCTCCTGTATCGACAGTGACATGCAGTTTTTTACTAAATCAATGAGTGATGACGTGAAGAACTTTTATGAGGATCAACAGTTAAACGATGCAAGGGTAATGGAGCAGCTCTGTCCAAGCACATCTCTCGATACAAATTTCAATATGTCCTTGTTAGATTCAAAAACCTCACATCTCGGTGAGAATATGTCACAAACATATAACACGTTGAACAATGAAGATATGCGAAGAAACGAGGATTGCTACGATTTCACTCTGCAACTGCCGCAAGGCTCGGACTTTAAAGAGGATCCCCTTGATTGCTTAATTTCCAATTCTAAACAAAGTGATGATGAAAAAAATGATTTTGATGATCACGACGGTTTAGATAAGAGAGCGCAAGAAAGGGATGACTTAATCAAAGATTTAATGAATATAGAAGATAAGATTAACTTGGAAAATAGCACTGAAGTTACTGAAAACGAAAAAGTGGCATCAGAATCTAACTGTGATTTTAACGTAGAGGAAGTTTTTCGGAAAGAAGTAAGTGAAATAAATGAAACATGTGGAAATACAGATAATTTAGAAAATGAATTACACTGGGACCAAGTTAAGGTAAGCAATAACATAATCGACAAAATATGTGAATCTGAAAACATTGTAAGAGCTTCAAATGAAACAAAAAATCAAGATTCAGTGGATGATTTAACGGAAAAAATCAAACAAAAATCAAATGAATGGGATAACGTATTAAATAAAGATAATGATGAAGCAAATAAAGAAAATACGGACCATTTAAATCACGACATTAATTCGAAATTAGAAACTGATATTCCTTTTGCTGTTGGACTACTCCCTTTAAAACAAATTCAAACCGCAGACGAAGGTTTATTTAAAAGGAGAAAATCTAACGACTCTGACATGTTAGACAATGTGGATGCAAAATGTCTTAAACGAAAAGTAAAATACAAAAAACTGTGATGGTCTTTAATATTTATGTTATGTATGTAATAAATTGCATTTATTTCCAAAAATACCTATGACTTATTTCTAGGGTTTTGATACATTAAAACAAATTCATATGCCCTGTCTTCTATTTAGAACTAAAGACTGACCCGGCAGTCGTTCTACGCTTTCCAGATCGAGGTTCGATGAGTTTCACTCCGACACAGCGCCACTTATCGGGCCCAGGTAGTAAAATTCACTAAACCACCATAAATTCAATGTAAATTAGTTTAGCTATGAAACATCGTAATTCATTCAAGTTGTTCAGAAGTTATATAATCACTAAAAGTAACCCAACAAATATAAGTTCAAATTTTATACTAATTTAACCAATAAAAAACATTGATTAAAAATATTATTGTTATTTAAATGTTTTTTACTCCAAATCGCTTAAAATTTGGCAATATTTTAAATTTGGCACTAGTTTTTTCTATAGGCTACAGAGTTATGACTATAGACATAGCATAAAGCAACATTGGCCACCGGCGAAACGGAGGAGAGTAGCCGTAGTGGTTTTCTCGGATACCGTAGACAGACAATAGAGATAGACAAGACCACAGCGTATGTCAATTATAGATAAATAAATATGTAGATGTCAATAACAGGTAACTATGGAGTGTAAAAGTAAGGAGTAACAACTCCCATAGTAGAATAGTTGAAAAAGTGGTCATCTGTAAGCAGTAAATAACAGCTCAAAAACTACAACAGCGCTGGAGTAGCTACTGGGATGAAATGAACTTAGCAGTTGTCGACGGTATAAGTGGCTGCTAAACTGCACAGTAGCTCTAAAATCTAAAATAATTTTATTTCGTAAATACAACCTCAAAAAAGTCCAAGTAATATTTTTCGGTGCGTTCTTTAAAATTTACCCCGTATGATTAAAACTACTTTTACGGATTTTATCGCGTTTATTTTTTCTTACTTTTTATTTTTATTTTTAATTCCCGACGTTTCGGGCGCTTTCCAGCACCCATGGTCACGGGGGACTGAGATGACTGACGTCCCGATGTCATTGTTAAACCCGGAGTACCTTCAGCTTTTTTTAATTATTGTTTATGGTCCGATCTATGCAAAATGAACTGACTATGTCCTGAGGTCTTGCAGTGGTATGCTTGGGTTTAGTTTTAATTTTATTGATTATAGGATCCCAAGCAGGTGGTAGTACCCAGCCTCCTTCTCTATTGAAATTAGGATGTTTTTTAATTTCAATAGCCTCACGTATCATCCTTGGTAGGAATCGGTGTTCTTTCGCGAGGATTTGTGGTCTATCAAATCTGATGTAATGGTTGGGGCCGTCTAGGATATGATCACAAACTGCAGACTTCCCGGAACGTTGATGCTTCACATCAGCTATATGTTCTTTTACGCGGGTCCTAATTGATCTTTTGGTTTGTCCTATATAAGAGAGACCACATTCACAATCAAGCTTGTACACTCCTGCATCTTGTAGAGGAATATGACACTTGACGGATGGTAGGAACTGACTAATCTTCTTCGGCGGCTTGTAGAATGTTCTAATAGAAGCTCGCTTCAAGATATAGCCAATCTTGTCTGTGACACCTCTGACATATGGTAGTACAGCAGGCACACGCTCGACTGTGGCCGGCTTCACTCGGTCACTGTGACGTAGGCGCGGGACCCGAAGCTTGTTGTCGTGCAGAACTTGCTTGACGTGCTGAAGCTCGGCGGCCAGGTGTTTGCTGTCACAGATCCCTCGTGCTCTCTGTAACAAAGATTTGCCCACGGTAGCTAACTGTGAAGGATGGTGGTGAGATTCACCGTTTAAATATCGGTTTGTATGGGTCTTTTTCCTATACACAGTGTGACCAATGGTGTTATTAGGATTTCGGATGACTAACACATCTAGGAAAGGTAAGGAATTATTTACCTCTAACTCCATAGTAAATTGAATTTTAGCGTTTATGGAGTTAAGATGTTCTAAAAATGCAGTTACTTTGTCTGATGGTAAAATTGTGAAAGTATCGTCTACGTACCGCTTGTAGATCCTTGGTGTAACAGGTGCAGTAAGGAGGGCTTTCTCCTCAAAGTCTTCCATGAATATATCGGCGACAATGGGAGATACAGGTGAGCCCATCGCCACACCATCTACTTGCTAAAGATAAAGGTAATTCTACGGTTATAATGGATACGTCAGATTACAATTTTAAAATACAACAACTTTTGTCGGATGAAACTACTTATCGAAAGGTCAAAACAGACCCTACAACTAATACGCTTAAAACAACTAGCGATCTAATTAAGAAATACTCCGAAAAATTGAATCTGGACGTTAATTCGATAATACCTTCCTGTGCCAAACCACCGAAGTTGTATGGGTTACCAAAGATACACAAACCGAATGCTCCATTACGTCCAATAGTGAGTCAGATTGATTCGCCAACTTACAGATTGGCTCAATACTTAGCTAAAATATTATCACCACTCAGAGGACACACAAGAGCACACACTAAGGATTCATACCATTTTGTCAGTGAGATAAAAGACCTACATCTTACTGACAATGAAACCATGGTCAGTTTTGATGTTCAGTCTCTATTTACATGCCTACCTGTTGAAGACTGCATCTCAATTATAACTAGGAAACTAGAGGAAAATAACATGCCAGCAGAATATGCAGTATTACTAAGACATTGCCTTACATCTGGCTATCTATTGTGGAAGGAAGAGTTTTACAAGCAAGTAGATGGTGTGGCGATGGGCTCACCTGTATCTCCCATTGTCGCCGATATATTCATGGAAGACTTTGAGGAGAAAGCCCTCCTTACTGCACCTGTTACACCAAGGATCTACAAGCGGTACGTAGACGATACTTTCACAATTTTACCATCAGACAAAGTAACTGCATTTTTAGAACATCTTAACTCCATAAACGCTAAAATTCAATTTACTATGGAGTTAGAGGTAAATAATTCCTTACCTTTCCTAGATGTGTTAGTCATCCGAAATCCTAATAACACCATTGGTCACACTGTGTATAGGAAAAAGACCCATACAAACCGATATTTAAACGGTGAATCTCACCACCATCCTTCACAGTTAGCTACCGTGGGCAAATCTTTGTTACAGAGAGCACGAGGGATCTGTGACAGCAAACACCTGGCCGCCGAGCTTCAGCACGTCAAGCAAGTTCTGCACGACAACAAGCTTCGGGTCCCGCGCCTACGTCACAGTGACCGAGTGAAGCCGGCCACAGTCGAGCGTGTGCCTGCTGTACTACCATATGTCAGAGGTGTCACAGACAAGATTGGCTATATCTTGAAGCGAGCTTCTATTAGAACATTCTACAAGCCGCCGAAGAAGATTAGTCAGTTCCTACCATCCGTCAAGTGTCATATTCCTCTACAAGATGCAGGAGTGTACAAGCTTGATTGTGAATGTGGTCTCTCTTATATAGGACAAACCAAAAGATCAATTAGGACCCGCGTAAAAGAACATATAGCTGATGTGAAGCATCAACGTTCCGGGAAGTCTGCAGTTTGTGATCATATCCTAGACGGCCCCAACCATTACATCAGATTTGATAGACCACAAATCCTCGCGAAAGAACACCGATTCCTACCAAGGATGATACGTGAGGCTATTGAAAATTAAAAAACATCCTAATTTCAATAGAGAAGGAGGCTGGGTACTACCACCTGCTTGGGATCCTATAATCAATAAAATTAAAACTAAACCCAAGCATACCACTGCAAGACCTCAGGACATAGTCAGTTCATTTTGCGTAGATCGGACCATAAACAATAATTAAAAAAAGCTGAAGGTACTCCGGGTTTAACAATGACATCGGGACGTCAGTCATCTCAGTCCCCCCGTGACCATGGGTGCTGGAAAGCGCCCGAAACGTCGGGAATTAAAAATAAAAATAAAAAGTAAGAAAAAATAAACGCGATAAAATCCGTAAAAGTAGTTTTAATCATGTGCAATGTTCGCGTAAATATAAGAAATCATTATTTACCCCGTAGCTATAGTGCCGCCACCCTTATTAAAAGGTTTTTATGGACACTTTTTGATACACAGTCTGTCCCTTACTTTTACACTCCATAGAGATAACGATAGTTCGCCATAACTACATTACTACAATTACATGCAATTTAAATTGCCATATTAGACTTTTACCACCATTGTGTGGGTAATCTAGTTCTTTTTATTTTGTTTGTTCTACGTCGACTAATTTAATTAATTTTCTTTCCTAAGCGACGTAGTTATGACTATTTGATTGTGCTCGCACGCGAACTGAATGGCTCTCGGATGAACGTAAAACACGAAAAAATGATCATTTTATTATCTCTCAGCAGCCGCAGACAATTTACATCATTTAGGACCGGGTTTAGTAAGCTCTTGGGCTTCATAGCCTTTATTCTATATTTATAGCTCAAGGCGTAAATAGTATAATATAATTAGAGAAATCATAATCAACTCATAGCACGAATGCATTCAGTTCTCTTGTACTTAATAATTAAGTGTAAACTAATCATTCCTTTGATCTACGTGTTGAATAAAAGTTAAATTTTAGTAAGACATCTTTAAAAAGTAAAAACTAATATTTTGATATTTGAGATTTACGTGCCGGATGACCACTTATGAAATAGAAACTTTAAACAGCCGCTATCCGTTATACACATTTTCGTTAGTCAACAATTTAATACTTGTCTGCCTCATCCATCTACACTTACCACATGGTACAAAAGTGTAGATGCAAACCTTGGGTTTACAACAGAATCTTTAGAATGCATTATATTAGTGGCAAAGGACAAAAAACCGAACTGTACTGTATTGTGCAGTAAGCATGGATGAGATGGCTATAAGGAGGTACGTCCAATGGGATGGAACAAAATCTGTAAGTCTGGTGAACTAAACGACGCTTGTTTTGTTTAAAGGGCAATAATCAATAAAACCTTATTATTAATAAACGTGTTGCATTATTTACTCACGAAGCCAGAACATAAGAAATGGCA